ATTCACATGAGGAGACTCTAGTAGCAACTGCTGAAAAAACACCATCATTCATTGAAAGAATTGATGATACCATCTTCAAAAATCCTATGGTACAAGAAGCTTTACAAATGGGATTCAATTTCAGAGACATTAAGAAGATAATGGAAGAAAAAATTCAGCTATCTGGGAGCAAAGAAAGAATTGATGATACCATCTTCAAAAATCCTATGGTACAAGAAGCTATACAAATAGGATTCAATTTCAGAGACATTAAGAAGATAATGGAAGAAAAAATTCAGCTATCTGGGAGCAACTATAAATCACTTGAGGTTCTGGTGGCAGATCTAGTGAGTGCCCAGAAAGACAGTGCACAAGATGAATCCAGTCAGACTTCATTGCAGAAAGAGATCAATATTGAAGAACAGCTAAGGTGCCTGCAAGAGGAAAAGCTTTGCAAAATCTGTATGGACAGAAGTATTGCTGTAGTTTTTATTCCTTGTGGACATCTGGTCACTTGTGAGCAATGTGCTGAAGCAATTGAGAAATGCCCCATGTGCTGCACAGTTATTACTTTCAAGCAAAAAATTTTTATGTCTTAATCTAACTCCACAGTAGGCATGTTATGTTTTTATTACCCTGATTGAATGTGTGTGATGTGAACTAACTTTAAGTAATCAGCATTGAATTCAGTAGCATTTGCTACCAAATAGGAAAAAATGTAAACAGCAGTTTTAGTTGGCAATCTAAAATTTGAATTTCTTAAGTTTTCAGGGTATTAGCTGTATTATTTATCCATTTTTTACTGTTATTTAATTGAAACCCTAGACTGAGAAGCATCGTAATATAACTGATCACAATGTGTATTTGTAGTACACGTAGTTTCTAAGTGTAAATGAATTAATCATCTGAATTTTTCATTCTTTTCAGATAGGTTTAACAAATGGAGCATTCTGTATAAACATGGAGATTAATTTCCCCGAGCACACAACTTGTTTTGTGTGAAAAAGAAAAGAATGTTCCACACTGGTGGAAGGATAACGATTATTTTTAAATGTTTGTCTTTGTGTTTTAGGATTCTGTCCATTCTCTTTTAAAATTATAAACATGTACTTGTGTGAATGATCTTAGAGAAGTGATTTTGCCATTTTTTAATGGGTATTTAATGATAGAATACCATCTAGCCAACTTCTACAAACATGAAAAGATGTGAAAGATATAGTAAGTGTAAAATGCAAGTGGCAAATCACTGTGTATACTATGAGCCAAGTTAAGGTGTGTGCGTTTTGTATATCTGTATAACAAAAGATTTGGAAAGATGCACTAAATTGTTAAGTGTGGTTTCTCTTGAGGAAGGTTGGGGGATGGGTCCCAGAGGGGGTTTACTGGGACCTTTCACTTTCTACTTTTTTGTGTTTGAATTTTTTTGTATAAGTATGTATTATTTTTGTAATCAGAATTTTTAGAAAGTATTTTACTGATTTAAAACCTTAGGCATGTTCAAACACCTGCAAAACTACTTATTGCTGAGCTTTAGTTTTTCTAATCCAAGAAGGCAGGGCTATTAATGTTTTTGGTGCCAATGTGAAATTTAAATGTTTTTATATTTTTCCTGCTGTGTGGATGAAAAATATTTCTGAGTTGTAGTTTTCTGACAGGTAGACCATGTCCTCATATCTTGTTTCAAAATAAGTATTTCTGATTTTGTAAAATGAAATTTAGAAAAAAGAAATCATAAGAAGTTATAATGTGACTTACATCATAAAAAGGATCAAACATCTGGTAAACTCATCAAACTATTCTCAATACACTGATTTAAGTTTTAAAGTAATTTTACTAAGAAAAAATTCTGAGCATCTTACTGTTTTAATGAGTTCCCTAGAGTAGCCAAGCATCTATATTTTCTTGTCTATAGAAAATGCTTTCTGAATAAAATGTCATCACTGTTCAAGAAATTCTTATATAAATGCTTCTGTAACTAAAATTAGAGCCCTAGAATTTCCACGTTTAAGCAGTTATAAGTAGAATCTCTCTTTTTTCCTCAGCATTTTCTCTTCAGCTGCCCCAGGTATTCTTTTATCACCATATGCATAGAGGGAGGTCCCCACACTGTGGAGATGAAAGTCTTTCACAACAGTACTGTAATATGAGAAAGGGGGAGTACAGAGAGAAAGGAGAAGAGACAGATGATCCCCTGACACTGAGCGAGACACTTCCAAACATCTCCCAATCACTTTCTCAGTATCACTTGATTAATCATAGGCCTTGGGACAACTCTGTGGATCCTAGGTAGCCCCTGCCCTTAACTCTCCTAGAATATTTCCTATAGAAATTGGTGCTTACATAACTTTGCAAGCCATGCATTGAATTGAGGGGAAAAAAAATTCTCAGAACTCTGGTTGTCAACTGAGAGACAAGCTGTCAACTTGAAGGCATGGTCTTCAGAATCTAAGCCTGAAATTTTTTTTATTGAATCATAATTGATCATACATGTTTGTTGGGTACAGAGTAGAATATCAGTACCTGTGTACAATATGTGATAATCAAGTAGAATAATTAGTATATTCATCATTACAAAATGTAATCATTCTTTGTGTCCATTAACCAATTTCTCACTTACCTCATTCCCTCTCCCCTTTCCCACCTCTAGTAACCACAGTTCTGTTCTCTCCTTCTGAAAGTTCAACTTATTATTGTGATTCTTTCCTTCTTGTGGTTCTTTCTTTTTTTCTTATTCATTTATTTTTTAGCTCACTTATGAGTGAGGACATGTAGTATTTCTTTCTGTGCCTGGCTTATTTCACTTAACATAATTTTCTCCAGGGACATCCATGTTGCTGCAAGTGGTAGAGCTTCATTCTTTTTTGTGTATATATACACATTTCCTTTATTCAGTCATTCGTTGATGGAATATTTAGGTTGGTTCCATATCTTGGCTATTGTAAATAGAGCTGCAATAAACATGGGAAAGCAGGTCTCCCTTCAACATGATGATTTCCATTCCTTTGGGTATATACCCAGTAGTGGGATTGCTGGATCATAAGAAAGGTCTATCTGTAGTTGTTTGTGAAAACTGCATACTGTTTTCCATAAAGGCTATACTAATTTACAGCCCCACCAACAGTATAGGAGGGCTCTCCTTTCTCCACATCTTCATCAACATTTGTCATTCTTAGTCTTTTTCAGCTTTGATTTTGTTTTTGTTTTTGGGTTTTTTGGGTGGCTGGTTGGGAAGGGGATCCAAAGCCATGATGCTGGTGTTGTAAGGCTGCGCTGGAAGCTGGTAACCAACTGAGCTAACCAGCCAGCCTTGTATTTTTGATAATAACCAGTCTAACTGGGGTGAGATGATATCTCAATGTGGTTTTAATTTGCATTTCCCTGATGCTTAGTGATGCTGAGCATTTATTTATGTACCTATTGGCTATTTGTATGTCTGTCTTTGAGAAATGTCTATTCAGCTCCTTTCCCCAGTTTTTAGGTGTATTATTATTATTTATTATTATTATTTCTACTGTTGAGTTCTTTGAGTTCCTTGTGTATTCTGGATATTAATCTCTTGTCAGATGCATAGTTTGCAAATATTTTCTCCCATTCTGTAGGTTATCTTTTTACTCTGTTGATTGTTTCCTTTGCTGTGCAGAAGTTTTTAGTTTGATATAATCCCATTTGTTTATTTTTCCTTTTATTGCCTGTGCTTTTGATGTCTTATTCATAGTCTTTGCCCAGTACTACATCCTCAAGTGTTTCCCTTATGTTTCCATCTAGGAGTTTTATAGTTTGAAATGTTATATTTAAGTCTTTAATCCATTTTCAGCTGATTTTGGCATATGGTGAGAGGTATAGATCTAATTTCATTCATTTACATATGGATATCCAGTTTTCCCAGCACCATTTATTGAAGAGGCTATCCTTTCCCCCAATGTATGTTCTTGGTGCCTTTGTCAAAAATCAGTTGGCTGTAAGTACATGGACAGATTTCTGTGTACTCTATTCAGTTCCATTGGTTTGTGTGTTTTTATGTCAGTACTATGCTGTTTTGGCTTTGGCTTATAAGTTTTGGCTTATTATAGCTTTGTAGTATAATTTGAAGTCAGGTAGTATAATGCCTCCAGCTTTATTTTTTGTTTATTTATTTTTGCTGAGAATTGCTTTGTCTGTTCAAGATCTTTTGTTGTTCCATATGAATGTTAGTATTGTTTTTTTCTATTTCTCTGAAGAATGTGATTGCTATTTTGATGGGTATTGCATTGAATCTGTAGATCACTTTGGGTAGTATGGACATTTTCACAACGTTAATTCTTCCAATCCATAGATGTGGAATGTCTTTCCATCATTTTGCGTCCTCTTTAATTTCTTTCAGTAGTAACTTGTAGTTCTCATTGTAGACATCCTTCACATTCTTGGTTAAATTTATTCTTATGTTTTTTTTTTTTTGGTAGCTATTGTAAATGGGCTTGCTTTCTTGATTTCCTTTTCTGCTAGTTCATTGTTGGAGTGTATGAATACAACTGATTTGTGTATATTGATTTTGTATCTGCAACTTTACTAATTTTGTTTGCCTGCTCTAGGAGTTTTTTGGTAGAGTCTGTAGGTTTTTTATTTATAGGATCATGTCATCTGCAAACAGGGACAATTTGACTTCATCTTTTCCAATTAGGATGCCTTTCATTTATTTCTTTTGCCTGATTGGTCTTGATAGTCCTTCCAATCCTATGTTAAATAGGAGTGGTAAGAGTGGGCATCCTTGCCTTGTTGCTGTTCTTAAAGGAAAAGCTTTCAGCTTTTCCCCATTCAGAATTATATTGGTAATGGGTTTGTCATATATGGCTTTTATTGTGTTGAGATACTTTCCTTCTGTACCTAATTTGGTGAGAGTCTTTATTATGAAGCAATGCTGAATGTCAGATTGTTTTTCTTCATCTATTGAAATGATCATATAGTTTTTATCTTTGATTTTGTTGATGTGGTGAATCACATTTATTGATTTGTGTATGATGAACCTTCCTTGCATCCTTGGGATGAATCCCACTTGATCATGATAATTTTGTTGATGTGATGCTGTATTCTGTTTGCTAATATGTTGCTGAGGATTTTTGCTTCTACATTAATT